ACATCTCATGCTAAAAAGGAGGCATACACCCAATGGAAGGGAGGGGCCATCACCAGGGAGGATTATACCTCCTTGGCTCGAGATTGTAGGGGGGCTGTTAGAAAGGCTAAGGTGGAGAAGGTACTGGGACTAGCGACCTGGAAACAAGAAGTTATTTTTTAAATACATAGGGAGTAAAAAGAAAGTACCGGGTAACGTGAGACCAAGCCCTGGGGGGTTCCACTCCCCACATCCCTCCAGGTCAAAAATGACCCATCCACCACCACTCTCTGGGTGCAGCCCTCCAGCCAGTTAGCGACCCATTTGACTGCGTGGGTGTCGACACCACAGTCCCCCAGTTTTTTGATGAGAATGGGGTGAGAGACAGTGTTGAAGGCCTTCTGAAAGTGCAGAAAGACTACGTCCACTGCTACCCCTGCATCTAAGGATTTTGTGACCTGGTCATAGAAGGCCACCAAGTTGGTCTGACAGGACCTGCCTTTAATGAATCCATGTCAGTTGACCCTAAGCATAACCTCCCCTGCTGGCCCCTCGTGGACATGTGCCAGGATAATTCTCTCAAAAAGCTTACACAGGATCAAGGTAGTAGGACTAACTGGCCTATAGTTTCCTGGGTCCTCCTTCCTCCCTTTAGAGTCCTAGAAATCTGACAAGGGAAGTAGAGAAATCTCTAAGAAATAAAACACACTGTTAACAGAGTAGGCCTGGAATTTCTGTTCTGATCATTCCAAATGTTTCTCTTCTAAAACCTAGAACTCTTCAGCTTTAATACTTGGTGTATGTGTGTTTGGTGTTTGCTGTGTCTGTAACAGGAAAGGGTCTGATCATGTTTCAGCAAATGGATACATAAAATTATTTGGGTCTTTCCTGATATTAAGTCATATTAGATATTAAGCCCGTTTCAAGGTAGTTAATATCCGAGGCAGATGAATCAAAGTTTTATCTTGGTCTTCAACTTCCTTTTGGCGTAAGGCCTCTCGATAAACCTCTTGAAAACAGTGTCTGAACAGCAAGTCTAAAGCAAGTGAGCATAAACCTTCTCATTGGCAATTCCTGGAGTAGGAGGTTAGCTCTATCTATTTCATCTTCCATCTACCCCATAGCAGGGGCTGGCAACATTTTGCAGCAAGGGGACTTCTTTAACAGAGCTCAACTCTTCGCATGTGCTGTTTGCAGCCTAACCTTTGCAGCCACAGCCAGTCTCCACTCCACCCTACAATGCTGCCAGCACTTCTCCGCGCTGAGCAAGTGAAGCCCCCACCGCCCCTGCAGATACTATTAGAGCCCACACTACCAAAATGCTGCAGAAGCCCACAAGCACCTTGGACCAGATCTGGCCTGCAAGCTGTAGGTTACCAAGCCCTGTGCAGATAGGATTTTCTCGTGTAGATTACCATTAAAGTCATCCTTGTTATGCAAGGATGGTTTTTGAAGTTTTATTAATTATGAAGGCCTCTCTTTGAGAAACTTTTGGTAGTTGCATTTGTTTAGGTGTAGGAAGGCATAGTGTTGTCCCACAGGCTCAGCAAAGAAAAGTTTGAGGGAGGAGACTATAGCAATATAGACCAAAACAGTTTTAACCTTGCTTGTTACTTTCCCATTCATAGAACTATCCAAAGTTGAACTGTATCTGCTGCTAGTAAAGTAGAAATTTCTTAAGGCCAACTCTCTGTCCCCTAGTGGTTTTTTTACTCTATCCACAAGTCTGTTTCTTCAGACTTCCTATCAGAAAATAGCAGTTGCCAAGATTTTCATTCAAAGTGTCTGTTTCATAGGTCTCTGCCACAGATTACACTTAAGACCTAATTAACCAGTTAATCAAGTCTTAAGATGTGACCTGGCCACATGTTAAAGCAATTAATTGCATCATAAGACATGGAATATGCCATAAAGTTATTCCATAAAAAATGTGTAATAACTTGGCTGTTGGTTTGTATCATGCCATTAATTGAATGTTTGGCCAGGTGAACCCCTGTGGCTGGGAGGCCCATCAGTTGAGAAGGCTCCCAGCAACTGGAGCTTCCTACTTGCTGGTGCAGGGCAGCCTGGGATCATGATCCTGGTCTCCTGCTCCGGCAGTAAGGTATGTTGAGATCTGATGCTTGATCCTACAGTCATACCTACTGCCATGCACGTGTGGCATGGCAAAAAGCACAATTGTGAGGATTGTGCATCAGATCCCATTGCACCTTTAGCTGCATGCCTGGCAGGGGCCGTAGCTTCGGGGCCTAAATGAGTTTCACAATTCTAAATGAGTTCAGACTTGATTAGACTAGAAATTTGCTGTAATCATAGCCATCAGTAGCAAGCCACTGTTGTAACTGCAGTGGCAGGACCCTTAAATTGGACAAGCAAAATGTTTGCATCACCAGAGTTTAACTTTTAGCTTTGGGAAATGCAGGTTCCAGTGTTGCAAAAAGCTTTGCCTGTCTACACCAGGATTGCATTGATGCGCATGCCTAAACATAGGTGTCCTGAATTCTTAAAACTGGAATGATATTTTATTTAAGAGAGCTGGACCTGAATTGTTTTTGCATGCTGTGGTAAGTAAAAATTATTACTGATTAGGCAGAGGCCCTTTAATTTTCAGAGGAACTTCTTCATGTTCAAGTGGCTTGTACTTTAAACTTTAAGAGAAAAGCCTTAATCCTTGGACTTTTTAGTCTGCATTTTTGGGCACAAAGGAGAAAGATGTAACTTTTGTTTTGTTTTAATTTAAGCCAGCTAAAATTAGAAGGTGTCATAGCTATAGGTCTGATCTTTTCCAATTTTGATTGAATTCCATAAGACAAAAATAATAATTTCTTGAGTTCTGATAATCAGATATTTGTTTTAGTCATAGAAGGTAAAAATGGAGGTGAAAACTGATACTTTGAGACTGAAAACTGGTGCTTTGTTTAAACAACGTGGAGAGAGCTCCCAAGCATCAGTGACTTTCAGATGACATTTTGCTCAGCTTCCAAATACAGGTGTTTTTTCACGCAGTAGTATTAGTTTAGTTTAAGGCCTGAAAGTCAAGCTCTGTTCTTTGTGGCTTGTACATAATAAGGGACTTTTCAAGATTCTGCCCATAATGGGTTGTGCAGGTTTGATTTCAAGGCTAAATCGGAACTTTACAGCTCTGATAATTTTCAAGATAAAATGGATTTCAGCTGATCACCTCATATTTGTATTTATTCTTCAGTGCTTAGAAAGGAATAAGTGATTATGATGCAGTTGGCAGCAGGAAACATGCAGATGCATCTCTGAATGGGATTAGATGTACTGTGTATGATGGTTCTGTTTTGAAATAATCTTATAACCATAACTT